CGAGCGGTGGCGCTGGACTTCGTGGGGTTCAGCGGCTCGGTGGCGGTCTCGCGGGGCGGCCGGCTGGTGGCGGCGCGCCGGTGCCCTGGATCTCACGCGCGGCGGGGCGACTGCAGCGCTCCGGTCTCGGGAGGTGGCGCGCGGTCGGCCTCCTACTGGACTCGGACGGATCTGGCGGTGGTGGTCGGCCGGCGGTGCGTGGTGCGTGCCCGGCGGCTCCGGCGCTAGGAGCTCGCCGGGCGACGCGGGTAGGGCAGCGGCCGGGCGTGGCCGTGGGTGGCGACGTGTGGAGGTCCGGCGTTGGTGGACTCCCGATGTCGTGGCGGCTTCATGGTGGCTTAGCGGATCTGCCTGCAGCGGCGGCCGACTTCTCCGGCGTCGGCTTGTCTGCAATCGGACCGTTTAGGCCTCCACCCCATCTCCTAGGTACCTGATCGCTTCTCCCTTCGAAGGGCTGGCCCTTTCCCAGCTGCGGTCCATCGCTTGTCTCGCGCCCGGTCCAGCAGGACCGAGCTCGTCTCGCGCACAGTGCCACAGGACCGAGCTCGTCTCGCGCACGATGCAGCAGGACTGACCTCGCCCCCCCCCACGGTGCTGCAGGACCGAACTCATCTCGCGCTCCGGGCTGCAGGATGGGTCAATGGATGACAGTGTTGGCCGACCTATTGGGTCTCGACGCTGGGGTTGGACCAGGGGTGCAAAGGCGGGTCCTTCTTCGCTCGTCTCTTTGGTTGGGATAGCGGCGGGTCTCGGGTGCGGTGGTGTCAAGGCATTGGATGCCGGGACGGCGGCCCTGGTGGCGGTAGCGCGGTGCTCTTGGGCAGAGCCCGTGTCATGGCGCTGCCTGGTGGCCATGGCCGTGTGGGCGGCGTGGTAGCCGGAGTGTAGCGTCCGGTGGCGATGAGTGTTTGCCGGGGTGAAAACCTGCTCTATCTTCGGACGGACAAGCGACGGCGAAGCTCGTTCCCTTCTTGAAGGCGTCGTCGCAGCTCTCACTGCCCGTGGTGCGGCTCAAGGGGAAACTCTGATCCTCGGAACCGGCGGTGGCGGCGCTCCGGTGTCGTTTCCTTCCTGAAGGCGCCGCCTTGAAGTCCACGGTTCGTTGTATGCGGCTTCATCTCTTCGTAGTAGTGTACTAGAGGTGGTGTTGCTGCGCTCAGCGCTTTTGTATCCTGCTTTGGATGTGTGTGGTGTTGGCTTGCGTTTGTTCCAAATGATGTTGATCTTTGTTTACATATAAAGCGGGGCGAAAGCCTTTTTGAATATCACAAATACCAATGGGCTCGCTGGAGAGCCTCATGCCTTGTCCACCTTTGAGCCGTCGCCATGGCATATAGGAACCCGTGCTCGCGCATCGCATCCCGTGCATAATAATGATGGCCTTGCATAAGTAGAAAATTACAATGAAGTCGTTCTTACCACGGGCTTGGAAACCGCAAGAGTCACCCACCATCTGGGAGAAGAAACTTCAGTTGAGGATCTCCCCTTTAGAGCGGGCCATCCCATGGCACCACCGTACAAAGATGAGGACCACGGACAATGTCAACAAAGAGAGCGAAACAACCACCAATTAGCAGCATAACTTCACAAACCTCGACAGATTGACGCCGAGTGCACCAACGCACACCGTGAAATCCAATCAAATTCGACGGATCATAACCTTCACGCACTCTCCACCAACGTCGAACACACCGCTGAAGCATGAACAAAACAAAAAGGGTCTTATTCCAACTCTATGACGCCATCGTCGCCCTCGAGCAGACACAAGACCTAACAAAGAGGGAACAAGATCCACCACACCTTGAAGGAACGGCGGACCAGCTGCGGGATGCTGATAATAGGCGTGGGTAGCTGGATCTAGCGAGCTTGGGTCCAGGAGGAAGGTGGGAACATGATATTGAGTACTGCACACAAATATTTTCCGTTGAAAAGGCTTTATTCTTGAATATCTTTTGATCCGCCGTATATACAGGTGCAAGCTCAGACTGCGTGTCACTCTCGAACAAATAATTTCTCCATTCTCGTGTGCCATGCACTGCTTCTGTCACGGTCCCAACAGCCACTTTGTCACTTTGACAACCAATTATTATTGCTTGCAATGCATTCGAGCCCATATAAACGGGAGCACTCGGCAACTCGCAGCGCTAGGCTACTTCAGTTCAGTCTGCCACACAATTTAACACCGGAGGAGTGAGACATGGATGCCACGACGAAGAACCAAGAAACGGCCGCCGGCGACAACCCCGCGCCGCCCGCGCCGCCGGTGCTGCCGTGGTCGGTGAGGCTCCAGCTGTTCGCGCTCGTCACCGCCAACGACATCGCGCAGCGCCGCGACGGGACCGTAAACCGCTTCCTCTTCCTCCTTCGGCGACCGGCAGTCGCCCGCGAGGCCGCGCCCGGACGCGCACGGCGTCCGCTCCGCCGACGTCACCGTCGACGCCTCCCGGAACCTCTGGGCGCGCGTCTACTCCCCCGCGGCGGAGGCGGCCCCGCTCCCCGTTCTCGTCTATTTCCACGGCGGCGGCTTCACGCTGCTCTCCGCGGCCTCCACGCCCATCGACGGCATGTGCCGCCGCTTCTGCCGCGAGCTGGGCGCCGTGGTCGTCTCCGTGAACTACCGCCTCGCGCCCGAGCACCGCCACCCGGCCGCCTACGACGACTGCGTGGACGTGCTCCGCTACCTCGGCGCCACCGGCCTCCCCGCGGACGCCTCCGTCCCGGTCGACCTCTCCCGCTGCTTCCTCGGCGGGGACAGCGCGGGGGGCAACATCGTCCACCACGTCGCCCAGCGGTGGACGGACGCGCCTCCCCCCGACAGCCCCGTCCGCCTGGCCGGCATCATACTCCTGCAGCCGTACTTCGGCGGGGAGGAGCGCACGGAGGCGGAGCTGAGGCTGGAGGGCGTGGCGCCGGTGGTGAACATGCGGCGCTCCGACTGGGCGTGGAGGGCGTTCCTGCCGGAGGGGGCGGACCGGAACCACCCGGCGGCGCACGTGACGGGCGAGGCGGGCCCGGAGCCCGAGCTGGCGGAGGCGTTCCCGCCGGCGATGGTGGCCGTCGGCGGGCTGGACCCGCTGCAGGACTGGCAGCGGCGGTACGGCGCCATGCTGCGGCGGAAGGGGAAGGCGGTCAAGGTGCTCGAGTTGCCGGACGCCATCCACGCCTTCTACTGCTTCCCCGAGCTCCCCGACTCAGGCAGGCTCGTGGAGGAGATCAGGGCGTTCATCGGGACCAACGCGCCCACTCATCACCCCGATGCTTAAGAAGATCTGCGTAATTTGAACTTAATTCCTGTGTGATACCTATAGCGATCAATTGCGTTTTGGATAATTGAATTGGAAGCTTCGGATCTGAAGTTGATTGAGACGAACCGCCGTGTGAGCCGTGAGGTGTCCGTGCGTGTGCGCCGCATGGAGCACGAGGTCGTCGGTGCACGTGGGACGTGTGGAGAACAGGCAGCCATATTCTGCCGGTATCGAGCGCGGACCACACGATGGTCCAATGCATGCACTCCCTCTCAACCGGAGATTTTTTTTTTAAAGAAACGGTGTTCACACGCAGTGCAACGGCGCCTGAACTGCAACCATTTTTTTTATTTCACCATCGAACACGCGTGTCAACAATGTACAGAATCCTGGCCTGGAAGGAAAAATGTTCGATAACGAGAGGCCACGTGGACTCACCTATCCTGCTCCAGGGAAAAGATCAGCTTAACTGAAGCTGACTTATTTCTTCAGCGGCTGAGAAAGAACTTCCATGAAAATTGAAGTGGCGCGTTGATTTATTTTTCTGCACATGCAGGTCGTTCTGCTAGCCGAGTTACACATCCATATACATACATTCGGTACTCTCATTGCAACATCTGCTAAGCATGAAAAAACGATTAGAGTTATGCTTGTGTGCGCAAGAAAGGATGACGCCTAGAGAGGAGGAACGACGTAGCAAGCAATGAAATGCTTCGGGGAGTTCCGATTCCTGTTTCAGCCTGATTTTTTAAAATTTTCGCTTTGTAAAACCACTATCATTAATTGTCTAATTATTCACACACGCTTAAATATACTTCAGTTTGTTTGGTATAATATGTTTCACAAAACTTGGGAGGCTAGGCTATCACGCCATAATCCGGCCTGAGTAATGAGACTGGCATCCTTTAGATGAGGTGCCTATGGAGTGAGAGCATGTACAATTTTTCTGATGATTTTACTACTATCAACCTTGACACTCGAAACACTTTCAAATTTCTCGAGTCTCGGATCTTCGAGAGGATGATTAGTATGATGAAGCTTGAGATCGACCTGGCATGCCAAAGGGCACGGGGGTGGAGCAAATCTCGGATATTAGGTGAAATTTAGGTCAATGGCGAGAGCTCTGTAAATTCTCCTAACCGTCTGCAGGATAAGAATAGGCGTTGCCTGTCTTTCGAGGTGTCATCATGTCTGGGGCAAGTGGCATTTGGTAGAATTGTCCCGTGAAGGTGTTTCTTCATGTTGAGCCAGTCAAGATAGAAAAACCACCCAAAAATCTTGACCTTGTTCGGAACCTTGGTGTCCTATATGTTGGTGGACAACAGTGGATCAGAGAGCTACTCGGAGAGAACAACATAGGCTCCACGAGTGGTGAAAGTCTGGCCCCGATGGAGAAACATCTTGCAATAAGGAACGAAATAGTAGCAAGCTCGCGCTTAGCTGTTAAGGTAAGTTGATTACAAAGGTCAGCTTCGATACCATCTTACAGAATATTGGATACAAATAATTTTCCTGAGTATTGCGGGAGAAGAGAGTAGGAAAAATTGTGGCAACTAGTTCAGGTTTTAACCATCTATCAAGCCAAAAGAAGGTTGTTGAACTAGAGCCTAGAGTGCATTGAGGAATTGCTCTTACACAATCTAGTTGCTTGTGCATTATTTTGCCAGGAAAGAGCTATTTGTGTCATGACTGATATTTAGAAGTGAGTGGTGGGTCACCCAATCTTTCCATGACAATGGTGAAGAGTAGGAATTTGTACGCAAATTTCAGTAAGAGGCAAATATTTTGCGCATGCAAGTGTTTAACACCCAAACCCCTTGATTCACGAGGAGAACAAACTTTATTCCACGCTACCAAGCATTTTGCACTAGAACGTGTTCTTGGTAGCCTATGCAAGATTTTGTTGCTTTGGGCGAACGTCAAAGAACCTTTTACATCATCTTCCCCAATATTTCTTGATGCTTAGGTTTTTCGGTAATTAATGCCAAAGTAAAAACGTACAAGTTCATGTATGATTTTCGCAAATTAATACGAAATTATGGAGGAAATAAGTACCTTATGAGAAGGTACATCCACATCTACTAGTTAAATTTTTGAAAAACTATATCTAGATAGAAGATTTCTTTTTTAGCAAGCCTTCTAAATTTGATTGGAGAGAGTAATTTCGAGCTCTCCTAGAAAATGTTGTGCTCTAAGGCCAATCAATTACGTCTCTTAATAAAGATCTAATCCAGGCCAAGGTCGAAATATGTGATCCTTGAAAGGCATAACAATGACGAGTTAACCATACTCTTCCATCTCATGGACAATAGTTGTTACGTTTCTCTTTTGGCTTAGCGTAAGAATGTTCCGACCATAATTTATTCTCGTTGAGTACGTCTTAGACTTGTTATTAGGTCATCCAATGCATCTACCGTATCAGGCTCCCCTAAAACAAGGTTGATTTAGTAGAGAAAATTATCCCTGGAAATAAAATTTGGGTCATGGTGACAAGTGAGATCGACATTTTGACCATCCATTCCTTCAAGACAGGTGAGGTATTCATACGACAAATAAACTATATCCCATTTGGTAACCCAACCGAGATCATAGTACTTGGTTACTACTTACCATGAGCATTGAGTGCCGATGGGGCCAAATTTTTGACAAACCGAACCTAACTCATTTACTATGCTTACGATAATATGCACCCACTAGCCATTGGCCATATGTAGAAGGCTCTCTTCTACCACTGCCCATCCCCTCCCATTAGTCCACTTCCTCAATGACTTCGGTAGAGCGTCTCCAAGGGAGAGTTTCAAATATGCTCCCCATATGTCTCGGGAAAGTTCTGTTGATAGACCTGTTTGTCCAAAAAAAAAACAGACGTCCAGCGGCACCCTGGACTTCTCCATTCCCCATAATTCCAAGCCTTTTTGGTCCATATTTCGCAATATTTTCATCACATTCCACACATTCAACAATAAATGTTGAGCATAAATAATTCTACAATTCAATAATCAACAAGTCGAATAGCTCAACAATTCAAACATGATCCTCTATAATAATTCAAAAATTCAAACATGGAGATAATTCAAATAAATCAAAGGTTTTTTTATTACACACACTGATGTCTTTGCGCACGTTGGAGAACTAATCCTTAATGTCTGGGTCCATTAGGCTAGCATTGGCCACATGAGCCCCAATTCTTCGCTGATCCTCGCGATCACAACTTGCTCGACCTCGGGTGTCGCTCTCCTTTCTTCAATGCTCACCTTCTCTCCCTCTCAAGCACAATGTGCTCCCACTCCTTCTCAAGATCCATGTACTCCCACACCTTCATCATCTCGATCTCCTCCCTTCCCTCTCAAGTCAAGTAGCAATCTGCCCCTCACCTTCTCAGTCTCCAAGTCAATCTTTTTCCTCTATACATTGAATTAGAATTTGTATCTTCCCTCCTTCTCATCCTTCTTGATGTACTCCCCTTTTTGCAGTTCCATGTCTTTGTTTCAAAGAATATCTGCCCATGAGGTCAACCAACAATCTTTATTTGGGAGGAGGATGGTGAAGAAGGGCCCTGATGGTGCGGCCGCGGTGAAGGAGGAATGCGAAGGGCCATGGTGGGGAGTTGGGGGTCGGAGACAAGCAAGAGAGAGAGAGAGAGAGAGAGAGAGAGAGAGAGAGAGAGAGAGAGAGAGAGAGAGGCGATTTGGTACGGATTGGGGTAGGATTGATTTGTCTGGTCTAATGTGATGGATATGTTCGTACAACCCCATATCCTCATCACACATGGGTCCGGTTTGAGGTAGTTCGGAAAGTCTTGGAAAATGGCAGAATTTTTTAAGGCCCATTCGGCTGTTTTCCCCCCACATATTGTTTGGACTGCCCGAGCGGACATACAAAATGGTTTGAGGAGTACCCTTAAAGATGCTCTTATTTCATCTTCCGTTCATCCCCTTCCTAGTTCATCGGAAGCTCTAGTTCATGTACTTCTTCATCTTGCACTGTAGTTCTAGTTCATGTACTTCTTCATGTTGCACTGTAGTTTATCTGCTCCTCCAACCCAAGGTCATTCAGCCAAGGTTGCTTTGCTCAGACACATTTGGTGCCTTGATATAATATTGTGTATGTTCTTTTTAGCAAAACACAATATAAATGCAAACAGTCACATACACATACGTAGCTCACCCCTATAAGCACACACAAGCGCATCCTATCCAATGAGCCGACTAATCTTAAAATCGACAAAGTCACCTCGTTGTAGATGGGTACGCCACTTACCACTGAAAGAATAGGTTTGACCACAAAGAATGCTCTTCTTATAAGTGTTTGTGTGATGTCCTCGATCATAAACCTCGTTTTCTCGCAAAAGAAATCTCATTGAAAAAACATTTGCTTTCTTGGTGGTTTTGATAATTCATTTTAACATGCACGCCGTTCGACTAATGTTTTCCTCAAGTATATTTTAGAAAAAGATCAACCTAGGCAAGTCGATGGATGGAGATATGGACCCCCTCAAGCCTATCTTTTGAAGCACAAAAGCAAGGAGTTCATTATCAACAACAGTATCTATGACCTTTTGGAGAGTGGTGTCTCCCAGATTTGTTAGGTGTCACTTGGGAGCCCCCAAATCATGTGGGTTGAACCAAAGAGTCTGTGAGGGTAAGAAGATCGCCTACTTCATGAAGATCTACCCTGAGTGAGACTAGTCCTTCGTGGACGAATGTTATAATGGCATAGACAATGTTGCTTCTTCGTGGACCCTTCGTAGGTGGAGCCCTCCATGGACTCGTGCAACCGTTACCCTTCGTGGGTAAAATCTCTATCAACGTGGACGTATGAGAGCCCCACCTATCGGAACCATGCCAAAATTCATTGTGTCTTCATTGCGTTTGATCTTCCGATCTCTACCTTCCTTTACTTTCTAGCACCTGCATGTTGTTCTTTATCCGTTTCCTATACTCCAGATATGCATGTGTAAATTGTATTGGTTGCCGCTTAACTTGTGCTAAAATCTGCCTAAAATTTTAAAAGAAATA